AAAAAGTTTTCATTAAGTTTAATAAAGATAAGAGCATGGTCTCACCTTTAATATTAAAAAAAAAAAAAAAAAAAAAAGGAATTTTTATGCCTTTTTTCTTAAATATGCGTGAGAAAATTATATGCAAAAGGAAAAAAATTTGCGTTTCTTTTCCAGCACCTAAGTTATTGTATTATTGTAGTTTATGTCACGTTGGATATTTGAACATTATACAGAACTTGTTTAATTGTGACAGTATTTATAGCTTTTATTAATCTGCAGAGTTTCAGTATTGGACCTATTTTTAAATTCGAAGAATTAATATTGAAAACAAAAAGAATGCACAGACTATCACATTCAAATGTGCATCAATACTTTAAAATAGTACTGTATTGTATAAAAATAAGGATGCTATGTTTGTATTATCTTTAAGATCCATTCTTAAATCCAAAGAATAAATAAGATCTGAAATTAAAAAATACATTATTTACGTTGAACTATTAAATTTACTTATTCGATTTTCTAATTGTTTATAATAGAGAACAAACATATGGTACTAATTAAAAATGTTCCTCGTGAATTGAGAGACGAAGTTTTCAAATCAATTAAAGGTAGAGATGTGACTTGATTAAGCTGACTATGAGATCAAAAAAAGAAAAAAAGCTTACACAAGAATCTCTAGATTTTTTAATAAATTTATATTCAGTGAATAACAGGCAATCGCGATATAACAATGCATACGATTTTGGATTTGAATAGAATTATTGACATCTTGAAATTAAGCTTACATTTTTGTTGAATAATACAAACAAAAAAAAAGGATTATTAGACTTAAATAGTTTAGTAAACATCACAAAATTAAACCAATTAATTTTAGTTAGTAGTTGAATTAGAGATGCAATCTTGTAACTGTTTCTTTATATATATAAAAATAGTTCGGATCACATATCAAGTGTGTATTTAAATATAAAACCCAATATACTTTTTATTTCAAAATTTTAGACATATTCATCATTTTGTAATATATTTGATTGTACATTTTTGAAGAAATAGAAGTTATAAAATGCTCATATTTGATATTATTTTCTTCTATAAAACTCTAATTAAAATAAAACATTAATTTTGATAAACTACATTTATTCAAAATATATCATGTTCAAAACCCGTTTTTTATGATAAGTTTACTTAAAGTTCAAAGTCAATATTCATATCTAAGCAAGCATTCTAAAATTTCCAAACTTATAAAAATAAAGAAGAGATTAAAATGCATGAGCATTACGATATCTGTCGGAGATTAGAACACACAATTCAGCTTTAGAAAGGAATGTGTTGATAACTTTGATGATCATGTTTTCTGGGTATACAAACTCTTTACCCAGACAATTTAATCAAGATTGATAAAAAATTACGTGAAAAAAGAAATAGAAAAATGAGCAAGAATTCGGCTTTAATAAAATGCTCAGAGAGAAATAGTCTTATCGTAAATGTTATGTTCCAAAATTTAAGGGAGGTTTTAATATACTAATACAAAATCATTTAATAATTAATTATTATTTGATTTATATTTAAATGGTTACAATAAACTAGTATCCATTGGTTTCATTCAGAGCACCGTTTGCAGATCTATTTAACTTTATTGGCGATGGAGAAAATTTATTTCAATCTCATTTCACAATGTTAAATCAGTATTTTTCTTGTGCAACAATACTTACTAAATTAATTGTGATCCGAAATCTGAAAACAATAGATATTATATAAAAATATATAGTATTTATGTTTGTATTATCTTTAAGATCCCTGTAACAATACTGGTCTAGTGAAATTGCAACTAAATATTAATTCATTCTTAAATTCGAAGAATTTATAGTAGATTAATTGTTATCAGTAACAAAATAAAAATATTATTAAAAATTCTATTCTTGTTTATCAGTTATTTATTTAAATTGAATTATTTGAATTCAATTAATTAAGTTCTTAATTTAGATTTAAGTTCTTAATAGTGTAATAATATGAATTATCTATTGGAGAGCCGAGCCATTTCCAAAATAATTATCATGTGAGTTGTGATTTTTTTTTCCCAACCTGGGAAAATTAATATTCTTTACATTATTCTAGTTAATATATTATTATGAGTAAAGAAGTTAAAACGAAAGACATCCAGATTGAGGTAAAAAGATAAAAAATTCCATAGAAAATTTTGGTTGGATGAACAATAAACCTAAATTATTTTGCATTCTAGTTAAAAGTGGGTTATTATCCGTTCAGCTCCTCTCTTCCGAGAATGGAAAAATACCAAAATGGAAATTTTTTTCTTCACTTCTATGTCGGAAGATATTTAAAAGAAGAGCAGGGCGGATGCTTATTTTGCTTGGAGAACAGCAATAAATGATTACGCGAAAAGTTTGATTTCTGAAAAAATTCGTAACTCTGGTAAACCTAATTTTAGTAGAATTAATTGTTACTACCGTAAACAATCTTTCCTAAATAAATTCGTAATTCAAATAAACATAACTTTGGTGGAGTTAAGTTACATGTAGTAAAATACACATTGTCATTTGTTTATCTAAGGCTGAGTCAAAGTATACTTTAGTAGGTTTAGTAAACCTAAGAGTGCATTCAAAAAAACAAACTATCAAAAGATCAATTTTTTTATTGGTCAGATCACATGTATTAAGGCCTATTTTTATTGGTCAGATCATGTATATTCTTGAAAAATCAGGAAAATTTTGGGTTAAATGCAAAAATTTGGAAATCTTGGGATAAAGGGCAAAAATTTGGAAAAATTTGGATCCAAAATTTTCTGTGGCCCTGATAGCACTGTATTATAAATGAGGGTGCGAACTATAAACTACAAAAAACTAAAAAGAATCTTAATGTTTTATCTGTTTTAAAGTTGTAAATTTAAATATAAAAATAAGTCAATCATATAGCATTAATTTACAAAAGATACCAAAGAAGCAAAATAAAAGAAATTTGTTGTAAACTTAAATATAAAAATAAGTCAATCATAAGAAATTAATGTCTGAAAAATAAAACTAAATAAATTAATGTTTACTACAAGTTTGAGAAGGTTCGACTTTTTTTTAGAGTTTGAAACCAGTTTTATTAAAATAAAATTCAAAAAGTAAAACTAGTTTTCTTTAGTAACATTTTGGTTTAAATTAACTTGGCCAAACTTTTTTATTAAGGGCTATCTCTGGTGTTATATATTTCAAGAAAAAATTTAAAAGAAAAAAATTGCTAGTATTTATGTTTTATAGTACACATATTAAGCCTAGAGAATGTGTGGTGATTTGCTAGTGATAGACCTTGGTGTTGTGGTGGTAAGATTGTGTCATTATTATTGATAACATGTATTTCACTTTTGTTGAAGTCTATGGAAAAACTAGGTAATCTAAGGAAATTGTGTTTTTTTAGGTGAAATATAAAAGTATGAAGTGTTTGAGGTTGAGAAGTGTCAAGCATTGGAAGGGTTGTGATATGATAAGAATCTATTATAACATGTTATATTGACATTAACAAGAGAATTCGAATTAGATGTAATAGAAGAGTTTTTTGTCGTGGTACCCATTTTGTGCTGGTTGTTTTTTGTATATTTAGGAGAATTCGAGTTAGATGTAATAGAAGTTGTCATGGTATCTATTTTGCACTCAGTAGTTTGCTAGTTGTTTTTTGTGTAATTGCTAATTTTTAATTTTAAATCTTTTAATTCTTCAATTGAAATTTTGCTATCCATCAAATATTCATCTAAACTTTTAATTTTTTGATCAGATCTTGTATTTGAAAACTTTATTCGATTTCTTTGATCATTTATTTTTTAATTTTTTTCAATATTTTCAATTACTAATTTACTATTTTCCTTACTTAAATCACTTAATATAATTTTTAATTTTTTATAATCATCATTTTTCAGAATTTTAATTTGTGATTTTAATTTTGAGATTTGGGACTCAAAATTAATTTCTTTTAAAAGACATGAATAATCTGTGTCTATTAATGCTTGTTCTAACTCAGTAGTAATATAATCTATTTTTGCTTCTAATATTTCTAATTTTTCATTACAGGTAGCAACAATTTGAATTAATTCTTTACAGCTTTTAATAGCAAATACTGACTCTCTCCATATTCTAGCATTTTTATATATCTTTTCTAATTCAATTTTTTTTATTTTAAAATGGTTTAGCATCTCTTTCATTTTTTCATTGCTTCTTTCATTTGCTAAGAATTCTTTATTCTGTCCTGTTTTTTGAATATTATTCTGGTTTTCAGTATAACTTGCTATACTAGAATTTTTTTTTAGATTCTCAATATATCCATATATTTGTTTTTCTAGTTGTTTATTAGCATAATTTCTGTTTTCTAGATCTTTTTCAATTTTTAGTAATGTATCATTATTCTTTACCCTATTTAAAATCAATTGCTTTCTTAGATTGAAATTTTTGGTTAGCAAATTTTTATTTTCTTGAATTAAATTAATTAAATTATTTTGCAATTTGTCATAATTTTTTAGCTTACAAATTTGTTCCTCTAGTATTAATACTTGGGACATATAATTCATTTTCTTTATTGAGCCCAAATTTGGTTTTCTGTCAAGAGCTTTTTTTAACTCATCTTTAAAGTATTTTTCTTTTGCTTCTAAAATTTCTACTTTTTCATCATTGTCAGTTGCTATTTGTGTTAATTTATTCTTATTTTCACTAGCTAAATTTGACACTCTTTTTGATCTATTATCTTTATGTTGATTTTTTAATTCATTTTCTAGAATTTCAATACTATCCAATATCTTTTTAAATTTTTCACAAGCTTCTTGCTGTATGGATTTTAGCATAGATTTTAGTCTACTATTTAATGAAATTATAAAGTTTTGATTTTAACTGAAAGTGAAATTTTATATTTTCTATAAAGCTTTAATAAGTACTGTATTTATAAATTTAAAAGAAAATTTTTTTATTTATCATATTACTCCTATATTAAATTAAAACCAACTTCATTAGAGTATACAATTTTAAATAAAATTATTAACTAATTATCAAAAAAACTATTGCATATCTTTCAATAAAATGCTAATTTTATTGGAAACATAGATTCATTCATTTTGCATATTTTGCGTTTTATTAATTCAGCTCAATAGAGATATCAGATTAGTAATTATTTTATCACGTTAAATAAACGTAGTCTACTTTACAACAAAATTAATACCTTAACTGCGTCAAAAAGATCATCTCTTAAGCTAATAATTTTTGTTAATGCTTTTCATATTTGCTTATAATAAAACAAGACTTTCTATTATA